TAATTTGCAGATGTAATTTATATTGTATATAAATGATCGATAATTTAAATTCTCACTTTAGAATATCATTTAACTAAAAATTTGAAATTTTTATTTTGATAGAATTTTGTGCGGATTTTCAGATATTATAAAGTGAGATTTCAGATTTTTATTGATCCATCGTTAATATTAAATTCTCAATTCATTTATTAAATTAGTTAACAATTGAATAACATTTATCATTTTATAGAGATTTTAGCAAAGAATTATATATTAATTAACGATTTTTTTATTATTGCATTTTTGGACTATTTAAATTTAAAAGTTTTATGAAATATTGTAGTCATTCTATAGTCAGAGTTCAAGGATTTCTAATTTCTACAATGAAAAAAATTATTGCTAGACATTCTAGCACCTTATTTATATAGAATTCTTTTTTTTATATTAGCAATGAATCGATTATTTTAATGAATTGCGTTTATCGAGTTTAATAACTAATTATTTTTTTGAACTTTGAAAATTTAAATAAAACCAAATAAACCATAATCCAATTTACTGTAGTAAAATTTCTGCCCACAATTTTTTCCAGCAATTCCTTGTTTATCAATAAAGGAAATAAAGGCGGCGTCATTAGCTATAAAAGGCGTTTGGCGTAATTAATGATTGAAGATCCTTTCCTTTCATAATCAACTAGCACTTAGTGTGGGAGAAGGCTGAATAATAAAAAAAAAGATTTGAAAAAACGAACTACTGTACATAAATTTAAAGAAATATTTGCGTTAGAACCATAAATACAAAAAAAATATGGTCTTAAAAAGCAATATAGAAAAAACCCTGAGAGACTTGGTAACTAGAATTAATGAATTAGAGGAAAAGGTTAAAGAACAAGAAGAGGAAACCAAAACCAAGCAAGAAACAATTAATAAATTAGAAGAAAGGGTCAGAAATCTTGAATTGATTATATATAAAGATACGATTGATAGTTTAACAATTACTAACACCAATAAGGATGACATATTAAACACCTTAGGAGGATTGCAAAGATATCGAAATTTGACACATCTCGATTGTAATAAAACTAAAATCAATAGTTTACCAACTTTACCTAACTCATTGACAACCCTTAATTGCTCTTATACAAAAATTAATAGCTTACCAAAATTACCATATTCCTTAACGACACTATATTGCTATGAAACTCAAATGACTAGACTAAACAAATTGCCAAACAATCTAAAAACTCTTAATTGCTCTTATACTATAATAACTAGAGTGCCAACTTTACCTCAATCATTAATTTACCTTAATTGTTCTGATACTCAGATTACTAGCGTACCAACTTTACCCAATTCCTTGACAGATCTTTATCTCCATAATACTCCAATAACTAGCTTGCCAACTTTACCTAACTCCTTAAAAACTATCGTTTGCTCGCATACTCAAATAACTACCTTAACAAATTTACCGAACTCCTTAAAAGAAATTTATTGCTCCTATACTCAAATAACTAACTTACCAACATTACCTGACTCCATAATTACACTCAAATGTAACTATACCCAAATAACTAGCTTACCAACATTATCCAACTCTTTAACAATCCTCCACTGCGGAAATACTAAGATAAATAGCTTACCATCTTTACCTAACTCTTTAAATGAACTCCATTGCTATGATACTCAAATAACGAATTTACTAACTTTACCTAACTCCTTAATTAAACTCAGTTGCGGTAATACCCTCATTACTAGTATACCCTCTTTACCAAACTCTTTAAAAGAACTCAATTGCTATAATACTCAGATATCTGACTTGCCAACTTTACTAGACTCCTTAAATTATCTAAACTGCGAAAGTACTCAAATAAATTACTTACCAAATTTACCTAATTCCTTAACACAAGTCTATCCTGAATCTTTAAGTTCAATTATTTTATTTACCTTTCAATATAATGAAATTGATGAACGTAAAGGATGAAAACATTTTTACATCAAAAAGAATTTACTATGTTTCTTAATAAAAAAAGATATAATTATGTATAAAAAATTTTTTCAAAAATATATGTGAAATATAAATTAATTAAATAAATAGCAATATCATAATCAATGATTTAATAGCAAATTTACCATATATTTTTTTCATCAGATATCCTCCTTTCAACAAAGAAGCGATATCCGTTTCTTGCTTCGCATTTTTTACCTGCGTTACGTTTGGAATGTCTTTGGCTAAACGTGAGCACATTCAATTATCCAAATTCATATTATATAACAGATCATTACATTACTCCAAGAACATGGACTTTATCAAAAAGCTGCGTCAATAGTCGCAATTATATTTGCACAAAATTTTTTTTTAAGAATATGTAATTAGAAATAATATCTGATTCAATACAATCACATGCTAAAAAAATGGCAGTATCAAAGAGTCGGAGATTCGATCCCTCCGCAGAACACAAAATTTTATCTTTCGAATAATCTTTATGGCTATTGGTAATTATCGCGCCATTTTATTTAAGAATTTTCTTTAAAAATGATTTGTTGTAATGATAAAACTAAAGGGGTTAATTAATATATGCAAAATATTGACACATATATGTATCAGTAAATCACAATAATGATTTCTTTAATTTAGTTAAATGAATTTTCAAAACCTTACAGTAATAGCATAGCATCAGAAACTTTCCAGTTATCACTCGAAATTATTTCCGATAGAACCATTTTTTTCCCATTATTGAACTTGGCATAATAACAGCATTGATTGTTTAAATTTCTGATTAGCTAATAAATAGATATTTTAAAATATAATATCTTTATGAGACTTGCTATCTCAACTTACTGTAATGTATGTCTAGTAATTTGATTTTAATAGAAACGACCAATATGATTACAAAAAAACTAAGCGAGAGCTAGAGAATTAAGCAAATTAAAGTATATACGCAAGTTCCATTCAATATTAAATTATAGAATTTTTATTAATACCTAATACAACTATTTTTTTGACATTTATAAATAAGCTACAATTGACACTTTCTTCGTCTAGCTTAAATTATTAAAGATCCCGAGTTTTCTGAAATAATCTAGATACAAAACCGAAATCAGAAAGTGAATAAAACGAAGGTTAGGTTAAAACTTGGTTTAAGAAGCTGATAAGAACCTCAGGGAGCGTGACAACACATAAAAAATTCTTATCTAAGAATACTAACGCCGTTTTCGAAAATGTCGACGTTGCAGAAAAGGAAGTACTCATATACAGTTTGGAGGTAAAGAACCGAAAGCAAATTTCTGGCTTAGCTGATGAGAATAAAGACTACTATACTATTAGATTACATTTGGCATTTTTTTTCAATAACAGTCATCACGCCAAATTTTCGCCGTATTTCTTTTTGACAGACGATTTTTTATTTCCTGAGCTTTAAATAGTAATACTTACAATTATCACGGGTAAAGATCGAATCATTGGCGTTTTCGAAATTATTGAAATTATGTCGATCATTGTAACGCGATCGATTTTTTTAAGTTAATCACGTTCGTTCAGCTTTACATAATAAACTTTAATTTTAAATAAGATAAGCTACTATAGATTTTTTTTTATAATTTAATAAATATACACTTTATTTATAATATATATAATATATGTTATTTACAAAAAGTTTTAATTAAAAAAATATATTTATATTCAAGTTAAAATTTTGAAATCACAACTTTTTTCAAGGAATCACAGAAAATCTCAAAAAACACATAGAAGAAAAATAGGAATCACAGTTGAGTTACTATAGTAAAAGTTATTCTTTAGCTCATGAAAAGTAACAATATAAGTGAAGATTTAAGGTGTAGTGTAGTATATTTGTATTATGATGGGTTTTCTTTTAAAAAAAAAAATTTGATTTATTGAAAATTGGTGGTTATGTGTTATAAACCCATTGAAAAGATAAGCAGATAGAAGATTTTAATGGATCTAATTTGAAGGTAATATTTTTAAATTTATTAATTATTATATATTATGTTGTATATGGTATTTATTAAAACATTATTTTTTTTTTAGATTTTAAGTGAAATAACAAAAGAGCATTCTAATTACTATTTAGATGAGATTGTTAGAGAAATGATTAGCAATGACCATGTTTCTAAAATAAAAATAAAATTATAATTAAAATATTATTTATAATCATAAAATATTGCGTGCACTAATGTTGCGCAAATATTATCACAAAATATCACGCAATATGAAATCTTACAGTTAATGCAGCCCAAATCTCATTTGTTTGATCTTAAATGATAATGATGCAATTTCTACTTCACCATTTTTATCATTTTTAAACAGCACCATTAAGAAAAACAGATTTCGACTGCTTCTTGAGATGCTACCTATTCTTCATATACTACATACACGCCATCCAACCGTCTTCAACTTTTCTCTTTGTTCTAACTGCGCAATTACAACTGAATCCTTCGATCATATATGACAATACTCAAAAAATAGCATTTCAATTACACAACTCGTCTTAGAAACAAGAAGATCCCTTCTTTTTAAACTTAGCCATTTAAAGAATTATGATGTATCACATGATAACCTTGTATATCAAATCAGCAAACTGTCAATCTGGTCTCCTACCAAATTAAATAATGATCTATATTTTTATCGACATTATCAAGGGAATTGTACCTGATAATCTAGTTACTCTGATTAATAACATTATCAACAACTTCACAGTTATCAAATCACTTCTTTCTACTACCTATTATGACCTCTTCAATAAAACATGGACTATCTAAATACAAAGATGCAATTCTTTTGTCAAGTAGAAACAACTTCATAACATTAATAATAATTATAAAACTAATTCTAATTTTTGGGTTACCTCTGGTTTTCCCTCAACATCTCATATTACTCTGCCTTTCCTTTCATCTTCTTTCATCACTTGGTTAATTTAGATTTAATTGGCCAAATTTTTAGTCAGGAAGTAACCATGCCTCTTATGCTAGATGGTTGGTTCTATTTTAATTCTTTATTGTAATTTTTACTTAATTTAGTTGAGCATAATGCATAGTTAGTATTGACTGTAATTTAGTTTTTTTTTCTAGATAGATATTTTTATATTCTCTTAATCTTACTCTTTGTACTCGTAAATTTAATAAAACTTCTGCACTATAAAAAAAAATCTTATTTGTTTGATAACAGTATTCCATTTTCCTGCATTATTTTTACCTTCTCTTCTAATTACAAATTTAAATAAGATTTCCATGTATTCATCTTCAGAATCTTCAATTTTAGAATTATTTAATTCAGCCTTAACATCCAATTCCACATCAACTTCTATTTTAATATTAAAAATTTTATCCTTTTCTTTATTCTCTTTATTATTCATCAGATTTTTCTCAATTTTACTTTATTAATTTCTTCTACTTCAATTATTATAGTTCTCAATATCATTATCATTTTCATCAATATCATTAATATCATTAATATTTATTTCTCTAGAACTTTTATAATTAGATCTAGTTAGCCTTGATGCTTGCTCTAATTTGATATTAGATTTGTAAGTTTTTAGTAGATTTACTGGAATGATCTTTGTTGTTTGAGAATTTTTTAAGTTAACATAAACTATACATGTATTTATATTTTTGAGAAATTTTATTCTATATAAATAAATTCTATTAGTTTTACTTAATTCAGACAGTTGTAATAGTTGTAATACATTATAAATCTTGTGTTTTGTATTTAAATCATAAACTCTGAAGTAGCTTTTTCTTTTTTTTGTATTTCTTATTTTTTTCTCAAATCACATTAAAGTATTTAAAAGATAATAGTTCATTATAATTCAAATATATTTGCTATAAAACAAATGCTAATTTGATTATTCTTGAGTAGAGCACTTTTTTTCAATATTATGATAAATATAATAAATACAATACAAAATTTTTTGAAATTAATCTTATTTGTATTTATATTATAAAATCTTATGTTATAAAGTGATCAGTTAATTATTAAATTATATATTTTTGTGTTTTGTATTTTGTGATTTTGTGTTTTTTCAATCATTATGCATAAGAGCTAATTTTAATAATTTTGAAAACCCTAATAATCATGATAATTATTCTCAAATTCATTTTTAAGGTTCTTAATTAATCGATTCAAATAATTTGCTTTTATTTTTAATTATATAGATATTTTCTTTTATTATATATTTTTTAATTTTTGCAATTATTTTCATTTTTAATATATATAGGAACTTTTTAATAAAAAGTGAGAAAAATTTTATTCTAAACTTATTTTTTTAAAAAAATCATATTTAGCATATAAAGTAAAATTTTAATTTTTTTAGATTTTCTTCTTTTCTATTGATAAGCTTTTAAATTATAAATTTTTTTTATATTTTTATATTTTTTTATATTTTGCAAATTTATTTTATTTTTTACCTTTTTTAATATTTTTTTTTTTTACTTTTTATACATTTGTTAATATTAAACTTTTTGATTTATTTTTTTTATTATCTGCGCTATTAATCATCATCAATCAGGATCACCTGATTCTAAAAAAACAAAAAAATAGGAGACCAATCAGGTCAAATCTGGCAACCCAGATTTGACCCGATTGGTCCCCTATTTGTCATCGTTCGACTAGTGTTGCTTACTAAATAATGATTTACCATCGATCCATGTTGCAGAATATACTTTGGCAAATCCTCCTTCACCAATTTCTTTTATATCTATGAATCTATCAAACGATAGCCATTCAAGAAATCTTGGATACACTTTATGTCTTGCATTAAATATTGTATCTTTGATAAATTTATCAATATCAGAATTTTAACTAGTCTATCCTTCAATTATATACTAAGGATCACATTCTTTACACAATAATTTTTCTGCAAATGATTTATTGCAATAAGAACAATTCTTATCTGAATATTTAATTTATTGAATTCAGATTCAATTAGGATTTGTAACTTCCAAAAGCAAATTCTTTAATAGATTATTAATAAAATTAGCAACTTACCGTCTTTTAAAGCAATATATCGTTAATTAAGAATTTGTTTAAATAATAGAAATTGATATTAACTGTAATATTATTAATAGCTATAATGATTCTTTATAAAATTATTAAATTATAATAAAGTATTTAAGTGAATATGCAATAAAAATAACTTACAAATTATAATTTCGATAGTTATCAAATTTTTTTGAATATAATTTATCATTAAATATTTTACAAGTTAGAAAATTTAAATTAGTACGTATTAAAAAATAAATAAGTCATTAAATTTTTTTAAAATAAATCAATTATTATTAATAAAGAATATTTATTCATTAAATTTTGATAAAAAATTATTGAACTTAGTTCATGTATATATACCTTCATTACACAAATCTGATGTATTGTTGCCTTTTACATAAATATTTTATTAATTTATTTTTTTAACGATAAAATTTATGAATAATAAATATTCTTATATCCAATTATCAAATAAGCTTTTTTAAGAACTAATAAACTTTATGCTTACTGAATTCATCTAGGTCTATATTCCTTTTTTTTGTTTGAGTAAATTAATTTTTTATTTTATTTAATATGCTTTCACTTTCTCCATTATCGTTATACATTTTATAAATTATGGAGGAAAATAAAAAGTTGCCTAAAGAAAAATGTTTTTCGAATTTGTTTGTTTATATAGCACTGTGATGTGACATTAGGAACATAAATTGGGTGTAACTGCCTGCAGAAAAATACTAATTTAAGCTCAACCCAACACTATAAAATTTGACTAGAGCAAGCAGAATTTTAGTAACACAAAAATAATTCTAGCCAAAATCTACATTATTGATGGATTAAAGAAAATTCTCACTAACTTACTAAAGGATGATGTTAATTACAAAATTAATTTTTATGTTGAAAATCAAATCAACATCATAAGAATTAAATTAAAAATTGTTGCTATAGGTCAAAGTTCTTAATCTAAATAATGCAATCAAAACAAGTTCTGAATTTTCTTTGAAGGTAGAGATTGGAACTTATTCAAGATATTTAATCGCGATTAAAATTTTGATACCATTATTCAATTAATCGATAATTAATTCATTTCCTTTAAAATTGATACTCTTCCCATACAAATTTTCGCCCAAATATTTCCATTATTTCTCCGTGGATTACTTAAAATTTCCGTGAAAATAAGCCTTTCATGGAATCCATATAAATGATATGAAAATTTCTGTGATTTGAGATTATAAATTCTGTGAAAATGAGTCCTTCACAGAAAAAACATGAAAAACCAAAAATGGATCAACTTTTTTATAGAATCTTTCGAGGTTCACCTAAACTGCCACCCCGCTTCCCAAATATTTGGAAATCGTATTAACAAGAAGAGGAACCTACAGAGCGCATAAAAAAATAATCATTCAGCTAACGTATGAAAAGTAAAAAAAAAAATAATCTATGTAAAATAGAAGCTAACAAAATTGGAAAAAATAAAATAAAAAAAACTTATTTAATTTATAAGTGTCCTAAAAAAATGTCTAAATAACCCGCTAATAATAATAACAAAAAAATAGCTAAATGTTCTATTGTACTAACAAAATAAAATTGGATTAAACGAAAAAAAAATTTGAAAATAAAGGAAAGATACTGGAAAATATCAAACATGTTTTGCTGTATCACGAAGTAATCAAAAACCAAATAAAGAAAATATTAGATCGCTTGAATTCTGAAACTATCGAACCTTAAACAAACTTGCCTCATGCTCGCACAAACGATCTAATTCGAAGAAAACAACTTAAGTTTGCAAGGGAAAAATAATCTTAAAAGTAAGAAAGTACGAAACAAAATATCTGTTACTAAATTAAGGAATTATTTATCTCCTTTCTTCCTTTATATATAAGCATTGAACATATTAAAAAATACCCAAATTTTACAAGGTTATAAAGTTTTTTACATATTGAAGTCCCAAAGTAATATGCTAGGTATGATTATACTAGTAGTCAGTATTGTCATGAGACATGGGCACAGACATAGACTGTCTGATCCACAGACTGTATAGACATAAAATTTTGTGTTTGAGACATTTGGGACAAATTTATAAGCATTATATACTTTAATTAGCTGATTAATGGTAATCATCATGTGAAATCCAACCAATCAGGTTTAGCATTTGTGCTATTAAATTTATGCACGTTACAGTACATAAATAATGTTTCCTTTCAGTATCATTGAGGAATAAAAGACAAGAACAAAGTTGACCAATTAACTGGTTTTCCATAAAAATCTTTCAAGCTAGGATTCTTCAAATATTGTTCAATGGTAAGTCTATAGAGAGGGATGAGTTATTTTTGTCTTTTTATAAAAATCATAACTAAAATTACATTCCTTTAGATTACAAAAAAAAGATTCTTCAAAGCTTGAATTTCAAAGGTAAATCTATGAAAACAGAGAGTAGTATTATTTTTTATTTTTTAAAATAAAACAAAATAATAAAAACTAACACTAGTCAAAATCAAAAAAATCATCATATGGTAAATCAGCCTAAAATCGGATATTATCAAAAATCAGTCAAAAATCAGCCATCCAATTTATAGCCGATTTGGATTATTATGACCAATAAGTATAAAATAAATTTTTTAAATATTTTTTTTTTAATAATAAATAATAATATACTTACCTCCTTTAGATATTATACCATATTCTTTAAGCTTTGGGATCATTCAGAGGTAAGTCCTATAAAATAAGTTTATTTTTTTTAAAAAAAAAAATTAAAATTAAAAAAAAAAATATAATACTAAAATACTTACTTTCTTTAGATGGTTTAGATTTTTGTTGTCACTCAAAAAGGACTCTAATGAAATCGAAATCGAAGGAAAGTAATCTTCATGATTTTGAGATCGTCTCCAAAAAATCATAGATAGGAACAGAAATATCAAACCAGATTTTTTAAGCCTTAGGATTGTTTAGAGGTAAGTACTATAAAAAAAAAAATTTTTTTTTTGTTTTAAAAAAAAAAATCAATAATAATAACTAAAATACTTACTTTCTTTAGATATTGAACTTGATTCT